AGCCAAACCCTAGGCTGTCTCGCACCCCGCCCCTGCCTCCACTCGTGCCCTTTCGGGGGCAGGGAGGCTGAGGAGGAGGGTACGGTGCCGTCCCCGCTCCTCGTTCTCCCGCGCCTCTGGGTGCCCCCCTCTTCACTGCCAGCCAGATCGGCCCATCGTCAGGAACAGGTCCCCCCCCAAATCCGCAAGATCACGTAGAAGGGGGAGGCGCATCGAGGGCTCCAGTCATCAGACAAGTCCTACCATTGGGGTTGCGAGGGCGGGGATCGGGAGACGGGAGAAGAGCAGGAACAGTAGCAGGCGGGGCAGAGTCAGAAGAGGGGATGGATGAGGATGAGGAGAATGAGAAGGGCTCCCGATCATGGTGCCCTACGCCCCTGCTTAGAGCTTAGAATAATTATGAACTAAAATAAGGCCTTCATCCCAAGCGTTTTCTTGAGCTGTAGTCCAAGTCCAGATGCACTAAACATCTGCGAGATGAGAGGTTCGAGGAAAACGCCTAGGATCCAGTCCAGATTCTTGTTTGTCTCAAGCGAGATCTAGAGTCCATGGGGCGTGATGCTTCTTCTTAAGATTTCTGACGGGTGTATAGACCCGAAGATTCTCGAGCCCCATGCCTGAGGTCGGATAGATCTGAGTAGTCGAGCTTCGACACTGTATGGTATTCAACTATCGACTGGTAATAATGCTTTTCAGCGTGCGCCAAGCGATGCTTTGGCTGCTCGCGCTGAAAGGAGTATTCGCGGATAGTTTAAATATTTGGCGACAGCTTGTCGTCGATATTGGAAGGCGGTCAAGTTCCCAAGTTCCCAAATTCTCAGATGGAATAATTTGGCAAACGTGTGCTGTCGATTTCGATCGGCGACCCGGTTCTCGGGCTCCTGGTTGCAAGTTCCTGGGTCCTCTGGTTCCTGGTTGTTGCCAGGGAGTCAGAAGAGAGCGGAGGGCAGAGAGTAGATAGTAGAGGATGCAGACAAGACAAATACCGCGTGCGTTGTCATCTGCCCACGTCCACGACCAGCTGGCTGCTCCTGCATGCCCGTGCTGGCAAGCGGCGGTGGTTTTCCTCGAGTGCACTGCTTACCACCAGCCGCAGGGCTGGCAGCTCCTGCCGTGATTCGCTCACGACGTCGTGCTGTGCTTGCGACAGCGGGCCTCGGGGAGCTTGGCCGCCGTCGCTTCGTGGACGACCCTCGCCCACGGGCCCCCAGCGCCCACCCCCGGGGACCATTTCCGGTGCTGCGCCGGGCGCGTCCCCATCCGGCGCTCTCGCTCGAGACATCCACGAAAAGGCCCGACAGCTTGGAGGCGCAGACCGCCGAGGGACGGCGGCCGGCCGCCGCCTCCTTCTTCAGGGTCTCGGTGTCCGTGCTCAGCGTGGCGAGCTTGTCCACCAGGGACGTGTGCGTCGCCCCCAGGTCCTGCGGCTCGGCGGCCGTGCCTGGGCCCCGCTGCGCAGGGGATGCCTCGCGTGCCACCCGCTCGCGGGCCTCTCGGAGGGGCTCGAGCCATACATCCAGCCACCGTCTGGTCGGCCAAGGAGCTCGGTGTATGGACGCCCTGGCTTCCCAAGCGGTGGGGCGCTGGAGCGCATCTGCACCGAACTCCTTCGCCAAACTCCTCGGCTCCTTGGCCGACCAAACGGCGTGGTGTATGCGTCGAGCCCCTCCGAGGCACGGGCCGCCGGAGGACGCTGGAGACCCGACTTTGCCCGGTCAGCTTTGCTTTGGCTCTGCTCTGAGCCCAGGTTCTCGCCCTGTTCCTGACCTTCGTACACACTCACGTTCGGCCACTTCATCCTGTTCACCTTCAGGGCCGTCCCCTACATGGACCGGCTCACTTCTGAATCGCAATTTTGTCATCCTGTACCTCTTCACGGTCTACCTCTCCAAGACGGCCCTGGCCTCCGCTGCTCCGCAACCCGCTTGCAAGTTCTTCCACGGCACCCCCGCCCCTGCCCTCATGGTCTGAGCTTGCTCCTTCCTGTCCCTCCTTCACGCCCTCTTTTGCATTTGTGCCTCAATTCGCTCCCGGTGCGTCCCTCCGCCTGCTGACTGGCGTCTGACTGTCCTTGACCAACTGGCGCCCGCGGACTTCAAAAGTATGTGTACGTACATGTCCGCCAGCCTCCTTGCGGGGCCATCAGGCTCCGCGGATTAGGCTTGCTGATAACTGCTCCAGTTCCAGTTTCCTGTCTCCGATGTTACAATTCTGTGTTCTGCTTCCTACTGTGAATTGTTGAAGCCCGCGCGAGAGGGGGGGCGCGAAAAGGGCCCTGGTTACCTTCACCTGGAGGGTTCTCAGAATTTCTCGAGGGTCATGGGACACATGAGAATGCATACTATTCTACGCATACTCGCGCCCCCGAGGCCATCATCCTTAGTGTATTATATCATGTTCGCGTCCCCGAGGCCATAAACTCTTGCAGATTACGCTGTGTTCGTGCTCCCGAGACCAATTCCTGATAAATTATGCAATGTTCGCGTCTCGGAGGCATTGTTTTCTCGTGTAGTGCACAAAATTATGCCCCCGAAGCCACGATCCTTTGTAAATTGCGCGTTCTTCGCGTCCCCGAAATCAGAAGCCCTCGTGAAGTGCGCAGCGTTCGCGCTTTCGAGGCCACAGTACTTAATAAAAGGCCCCCAAGACGGTACGAGAGGCCTCCGAGACGGCCCAAGAGTGCTCCAAGGCGCTCAAGATGGTCCCAAGATGGCCCAAGACGCTCCCCCCGAGGCCGCCGAGAGCGCTCCAAGAGCACCCCCAAGAGGGGCCCAAGAGGCCAACGTTTGCGATTGTCATTTGGTTTTTGATGGATTTGTGCACGCTCATATCTCCAGTTGCCCCGACGCTGCTTCACGACGGCGCCAAGGCCTCACAACATAACTCTTGCATGCCCCATTCTCCGAGAGAGGGGGCTGGCGGTAGGGGGCGAAACCCTTACGGATATGCAAATAAGACACAACACATATATGTGTGTGTACGTCAATCGCCTCACGAACAGGATTTGCTGGACCCCCACCGCGAGCTAGTGTGCGCGCCGCAGTGGGCATCGCAGCCAGGTCGGGGATCTTCTGACCCGGGTCCATCCAGACCCGGGCCTGGTCAGGCCTTGCAGCATCCTGCACCTGGGCCCGGGTCAATGCGACCATGGCTCTGCAGGATCCTGCAAGACCCGGCGCTCTGACTGCCCCCAGCTTGCATTGACCCCCGTCTCTGGAGCCCCGACCAGGACAATGTCGACTCACGCCGAGCGGGTCGAGGCGCCCATTGCTCGGCCGCCTGAGCGGCGGGCGGGGGCGGCGGCGCAAGCTCTGCGTCCCGGCCGCTCGCGGAGCAGGCCGATGCTCTGCACGGCCGCGCGGGATCTCCAGCTGGCGAGCACTGCAGCATGCAGGCGCGGGCAGCGCTCGAGGACGAAATTGCCGCATCGAGGTCGACGACGATCGCCTCAAGGGTTGAGAAGGTGCACCCTCGTTCAAAAAATCACCACTGCGGCAAGGACAAAAGGATGAACGCACGCGCTCTCGGAACGGCGAGCGAACTCCGTGCCTGGCGCGCAGGTGTGAGGCCAGTGCACGTCGGTCGGAAGAAGCAGGTAAAAGCACGAAGTAGGGAGGCGGATAACGTAGATTGGGTGTTAAGCCCCCCAGAGAAGAACACAAGACACAGCGAAATCACATCGATTCTTGAAGTATGAAGGCGCTTGAAGTAGGTTGGGATCTGGGAGTCTAGAAATATTTGCTTTCAACGACCGGCGGGTACTTTTTTTGTGGCAGACCCTGCGCGTGCACGAGGGGCAAGGCAACGTCAGCGCACTCGGGCCGCACCGCTGCCGCTCGAAGCGCCCGCACCCGATCGCACGAGGAGGCGATGAAGCGGATGCGTCCAACCGTAGCGGCGTGCACGAGGGGGTATACGCAGAAGGCATCTACCCACCACCACCGAGCCAAGCCAGTGCCATCCTGGCCTGGGCATGGTGTACACGCCATACTGGCCGAGGCCAGGCGGGTCTATACACCGTCCTGGGGCCCAGGATGGCCCTGGCCTGGCACGGTGGTGGTGGGTAGATGCCTTGGTCGGAGGGTGTGGGGGAGGGGGGACGGCTTTTTATAAGCAGAGGTGCTTCTTAGAAGCCTTCCCCCCTCCCCCTGCCCCCCTCTGCGCGTGGTCGACAACCGTGGCCCGAGGCACGAGTTGACACGTCCTCAGGTGATTTGAATAATTCGCTTTCAATCCTGGGGGTTCTTTACACGGGGACCGCAGCCACGATTCCTGGGCGCTCCTGAGCGCTTTTGGAATCCGGTGAGTGGTGTCGCATTACTTTTTCGGAGCCAGGAGGACCGTAAACCGGCCCCAGAGGGCCCCACGAGGTCCCTGAGACGGTCCAAGAGCGCCCGAAGTCGCCCGATGATCGCGGCCTCCAGACGGCCCAAGAGACCTCCAAGATTCCAAGAGGGCTCCAAGGCCCCCCAAGAAGCCCAAACCATGTATGTCTGCGGTTGCTTGAACGATTTTAACGTTCTCGCCTTTTCGGGCGTTCGACGCATCAAGATGGCCCAATCGGCTCCCAAAATCGCCCCAAGATGGCCCAAGAGGCCTCAAGAAAACCCGAAAGTGGGCTCAAAGCTGCCAAGAAATCCCCAAGAAGGGCCCACGAGAGGCAGCAGATGGGGAACGCGAACCGACATTATGAGCTCTCCACCACAGGACGAACTCCGAGACCGCCAGCAGGCCCCCAAGAAACCCCCCATAGGCTCCAGGAGGCCCCCAGGAGGCTCAAACCAGGCCCAAAAGGCCCCCACGATGCCCCCGAGAGACTCCAAATACATCCCAAACCCCCTTCAAGAGGCTCCCGAGAGGCCTCCCAACAAATCGCCAGAAGCATGCCTCTGCCTTACAACAAAAGAACGGTGGCGGGATGGGCCAAAGGACACACACACATTTTATCGATATATATATATATATATATATATATATATATATATATATATATATTTATTCTGCAAGGCTGGAAGTCTCAAGACAATGAAAAAACAGCGACGCGCCACTGTCAAAGGGCGCGTGTCCCGGCCACGCTGCCGGGGCCAGGTTCTACCGAGAGGTGCGGCCAACGACCGATCCGTCGCGGCGCCTGGCGGGGAGCACCGCCAAGTGGTGGCTACGGCCAGCCTGCTGTGCAAGGCGGCGGAGGACTCGATCCTCCTGGTCAAGCTCGTCCACGCGATCAGCGGGGAGTGGACGGCAATGCTGTAATATCCACTCCCTGCACTTGGGACGCCGAGCATCCGACACGTGCGCCAACAGTCTCAGACGCTGTTGAAAATCGGTCTTGCAGCATGGGCACCGCGCGTTCGGGAGGAATCGACGAATGTCGTTGGGCGTGCCATGCATCGCCCTCCTGTGGCTCTCAAGCGCCCTGGACGAGGCAAAAGCTTTAGAGCACTCAGGGCACGGCCATACGCAAACTGCTGGGGAGGGGTGCGAGTGTTTGCGATCGCCAGAAACCGACTCGATGAAAAGGAGCTGCGCCACGCACGCTCTCCAAGCACTCTCATCCTCCAGCAAGGCTTGCCACTGGTCAGGGGCGTCCTCTGGATTAGGGAACCCTGCGGGCACGACTCGGCGCCGCAGAAGATCGGCATCCTCCAGAAGTCTTGCAACCCACGGCAGCGGTTTACCATGCAGCCGCACGTGGAGTAGAGCGAGAAGAGGCCTCGACCGGGAGCGGGCTAACCGTCCCCAGAACAGAAGACGACTGCGGGACACTAAACAATCGATCGATGGGCGCTGCAGGTCCAACCGGATCTCGAAGTCAGAGCGCTGTACATCAGACGAGAAACGGGACTCGCCGTCAATGCGTCGGAGAGCGCGCATGTAGACCGCATTTAAGCGTTTTAGCTCTTGGGGCGGGGAAGAGTCAAGAATACACCACAAAGCAGCCTGGAAAGCACAAGTGTGTCCAGAAAACGAAGCTTGTAGGGCCTAGGGCTTTTCGCAGACCCAAAAACCTTGCTAGCCAAGGGGCCGTGCGCCGTCATGGCGGTCGAACACCGGTGCGCCGCGTTTGCGAAGCAGCCGCCATCGAGGCTGGTAAATGTTCCAAGATGCTGATAATGTTCTACTACATCGATCTGCTGGGATAGCTCGGGAACACACAGGCGCAGGCGACCATCAGAGCACCGACGGGCCTCGCGGAGCGCGCATGAACCGGCCCCCCTATACTTCAACAACGCTTCGGTCTTGCCAGGCTTCGTGTTGATGGCAAGGTGGAGGCTGCTAGAAATGCGAAACAGATTGCTGAGGGGAACGTCAATCGCTGCATCTAACGCCGCCCCCGTGGAGGCAAAACGAACAAAACATTCATCATCGACGAACGTAGCGTCGACCACCGGGGTGGGGTCATAATCATAATGAGAGGCCGCCGCTGGCGCCCAGAACGGGGTAGTGGGAACAGGGAGCTTTAAAGCAAACCCCCGCCTGTGAAAGCTCCCATCCCAAAGTTTCCAAAACGATGGAGTACGCAGAGTTGAAAATGAAAGCTCCGAGCTTGCAGCCCTGCCGGCTGCCAGTCTTCGTGCTCACTCGGGCGCTGGTGCCTGAGACACCGAACCACGAGCCTGCATGCAAAGATTGGCACGTCTCCGCCGCGCCCTCATCAGCCCCCCACTGTCGCAGCAGGGGCCCGCGGGCGTCCAGGTAGCGGAGCATCCAGTCAATCGCAGGCTCTGCAACGCCGAGCTCACGCAGCGCCTGCGCTCGGTCAGCGGGCTCTTGCGGGCCCCAGCCGAAGACCAGCTCACGCACCGCGCGGTCGAAGGCTTTGATCAGGTCCACAAAGAGAACCAGGACGGACCACTGCCGCGCCTGCGCTACCTCCACCGCAGGGCGCACTAGGAGCGCGGCCTGGTCAGTGCCTCGCTTCCGCACGGCGCCAAATTGCGTGGGCGGGAGGCGCTGCTCGCACACGGGGTCGAGCACCTCCTTCAGCCGCCCCGCCAGCGCCTTGCCAGCGTGATCTGCCAGAAGCACGCCTCGGCTGGCATCAGGATCACACGGGTCGCCCTTCCTCTTGAAGACCTCCTGCATCAGGCCGCCGCGCCACTGCACGGGCCATGAAGCGTTGGCCACCACGCGGCGGTTGACGTCCGCGCATTTGCAGGCCACTGCTGCACTTCCAGCGCGGAGCAACTCCGCCGGGATGCCGTCGTAACCACAACCCTTGTTGTGGCCCAGCCGCTTAAACGACTCCTCGGTGGCGACAGGTCCCACATCCAGGCAATTCGAGGAGGTGCGCGGAGGCCGCGGTCGCTCCCGCATCTGCCCAGGATCAAGATTGCAACCGCCGAGAACGTCTCGAAAATGCTCCAGCCAACGTTGACGCACTGCTGCTGGGTCAGCGGTGACCGTGCCATCGACCAAGAAGATACTCGGGCTGGGCCGGAATGAGCGGCCTGCCAGCGCACGTACCACTGCGTACGCCTGCCTGCTATCGCCATCCTCGAGCGAGGAGGACGCTGCCATGGCTCGAGGAATGCCATCCGGTCCCGCTCCAACACCGGGCGGGCGGCGGCCTGCACACGAAAGATCATGGAATGCGCCACCGCACCCTGCCATCTAGCCCGCCGGGCAACACCTGCAGCGTCCACGGCTGAGCCGAAAAGAGCGAACGGTCGCTCCGCTGCCGTGGCATCGACTCGGGAAGGAAGCCATCGGCGCCACTGGAAGAAAACTTCCGCCTGCTTCTGCAGCTTCTCCAGCTCCCAGTAGCGGTGGTGGAGGCGCCGCAGCGGCGCCACGTGCTGAATTAGCTCCCAAGCCTGTGGGCTGACCCAGCGTTGCCTCGGCTGGCGCTCGGCCTTCCCGAACGCCTCTGTTGCAGCCCATCGCACATACGTGTTCAGGAGCTCCACGTGGTCATCAATATGAGGAGCGGCGCCACTGGCACCACCGGTGCAAGGCTCCTGAACCCTACCGGCATCAGAGCCGGCGCGATCCAGGCCAAAATCTCCAGAGGCAGTGGCGGCGGGGCCACTCGCTCTCGGGTAGTCCGCCGTAATCTGCGGGAACAATCAAATCAGCTCCTGGAAATGCTCGCGCCGGGCCGGGACGCTCAAGTTCATCTTATTGATTTTGAAGCTAGTGTCCGGCACCTTGGTCACGACCATGGGCTCCAGGGCCGTCTGGAATTCCACTAAATTGTGGTCCTCCCATGCATTCATGGCCAGGTCGATGTCGTAGTTCGGCTTGCAATAGGCCGCGCCGTGGAAGACCTCATTGGGAATCAAAACGTAGTCGATGCGAGAACGCGTGTGCTTCGATGGTGTCCAAGTGTATCCGGCTGACGGCCACCAAGTGTTGGCCAGCATCAACGAATGGTCACCCGCAAACTCGCGAAGCATGCAGCCGTTGGAGTTCTCAGTCTCGGCGCCCTCCTTTCCGATCATCGGAGACGGCACCGAGCCCACGCGGCCATTGACGTCACAGAGGAAGAGCCACGGGACTCGGTGGGCTTTGCGCAGCGCGCCATAGCGTCGCGAAGCATCCTCCCACCACGCGGCGCGGATGCTCTCCTCGACCATGGAATGCGGAGCATGGGCAGAGATAGCCCCAAACTGCACCCGTTTCTTCTCAACGACTGCGTATATCATGTCGGGGGAGAAGTGCTCCCACGTCACGACACGCAGCCCCTGCGTTACCCATATCTGGACTCCGCGGGAGCCACCAGGGCGCGAAGCGGCAGTCAGCATCTGGAAGGTGTGGCCATCCTTGGCCTCGGCAGCAGCTGCACGGCCCTCCTGGATGCCAATCACCTCGAGGCCAGCGGCCGCAAACTGGTCCTCCAGGAGGTGGACTTTGCTGAGGAGGCAAGCGGCGCTGACTTGCGCGTAAGCTCGCTTCTCCTGCCTTGGCAGGAGGGTGTTCACGTTAGCAGTGCCCCCCCGCAGGACGATCGCAGGGATCACTCCGCACTCGGAGGCGGCTGGGCATGCTGAAACCCCGGCTTCAACCCCTTGTGCTTCACGAAGGTGTCCGAAATGACCATCGGGGGCGCCTGCTTGCCGGTCCGCCTCACGCGCGGGAGCGGGTCCGGCACCAGCAGCGGAGGCTGCTTGTTCACGAGGCGCCGCTGGGGTTCCTCCGCCCTCTTGACCATATCCAGGGTGGCCTTGAACCGCTCGAGGAGGGCGGCAGACTGGGCAGAGGCATCCGACACAGCCTCGCCCGATACGGTGTCCGCCTCGGCCAGCTGCGCCACGGCCTGCTGCAGGAGGGACTCCAGCTGCTCCATCACAGGGGCAGGCGTCGCCGGGACCGGCGCCGCAGGCGGGCCGATCTGCTCCTCGAGCGAGGCCACCTCCGCGCGCAGGTGGGTCACCTCCGCATTGGACGCCTCCTGCGCCGCAAGGGCAAGCTGCACGCTCTCCACAGCCGCCTCCTGTCGCTTGAGGGCGCGCGCCAAGGCGGCACGCGCTCCATCCAAGCGCTTGCCCATGGGCTTGGTCTCCCCGAGCAGGCGCCTCTTCTCGTCGAGCTGTACGGCGAGCGTGTCGCGCGTGGCATCGTCGCCCACGCCCGCTGGGATGGCCGCCAGCGCAGCTTCCAGGTGCTTGACGGAAGCCAGTAGCTGCTGGCGCGAGCGCTGCTCCTCCGCTGCCGCCTCGGAGGCCCCCGCACCGTCGATGGTGTCCATGTCGGTCGGGGTCTGCTGGGCAGGTCCCTGCCCGGAGGGGGGCCCCGAGGCTTGCCCGCCCGTGGCCCGGTGCAGCTTCTCCGCGATCGCGGCGAGCTGCTTCGAGATCTGGTTCGAGGTCTGAGATCCGCTCGGTAAGGCCGAGCGCGCCTGCTGCGAGGGCGGGTCCGCGGTGGTACCCACGACCTCCGCCCATGAGCGGCGCATGCCACAGATCGTGCACGCGTGCTTCGACGAGTTCCGCGAGTTGCAGCCTTTGCACTGCCAAGAGCGTGAAGCACGCGAAGCCCCAGCTCCACGCGCTCCCACGTAGTGCCATTTGCCATCCGGATCGCGACGCCAGTCCTCTGACTGCGCGCCCTGGCCGTGCGTGGTTCGCCCCCCACGCCATGACGCCATCCGAAAGCACTTAGCACAATCTCCTGGTGAGCAAGACTCGGATTGGTGTAGTCTTACAATTGACTCGAGCCCTAGCCCCCTTGGACCTGACCAAGAGAGGCAGCTTGAGCCAAAATGGTAATATATATATATATATATGTATGTATATATATATATGAATATATCCGCCGCCCCCGTTCGATTCATCGCAGGGGTGCCTGGCGTGCTGGACCCTTCGGTTTTGGTTTTGGTTCTTTTTCCGAAAGAACTCCCCCCGGGGCTTCGGCCCGTCCCGCCGGCCACCCGGAAAGGACCTCAAGGAGCACAATTCCCCAATGTTTCGCTCAAGATGGCCCAAGATGGCCTCCAAGATGGCCACGTTGGCCGATGGCCTCCACGATGGTCCAAGATGACCTCCAAGTCCGCCCAAGATGATCCAAGACGGCCTCCAAGACGGCCCCAGAGAGTCCAAGATACCTCCAAGGTCGCCCGAGAAGCGTCCAAGACGGCCCAAGACGACCCAAGAGGCCTCCAAGAGGTCCTCCAGGAGTGCTCGAAAAGGCCAGGATCGCTGGTTTTCCTGAAGTTTTTGAAGGATTTGAATTTGCTTCTTTTCGGCCTTCCGACGGCCCGAGACGGCCCAAGAGCCCCCAAAGATCGCCCCAAGATCGCCAAAAGGCCTCCAATATGGCCCTAGAACGGCCCAAGAAGCCCCAAAGACGGCCCCAAAAGGGCCCCAGGACGGGCCAAGAGGCCTCCAAGACGCCCAAGATGGCCTCTTAGACGGCCCTGGAGCACCCTAAGAAAGCCCCAAGTCGGCCCAGAGAGTCCCCCCAAACGGCTTCCGACGGCGTCAGACGGGCCAGGAGCCCACCAAGATGGCCGAAGTTGGCTCCAGGCTAGCCCAAGACGACCCAAGAGGTCTCCAAGAGGGCCCCCAGGAGGGCTCGAAGAGGCCAGAATCATTGGTTGTCCTTAGGCTTTTGAAGGATTTTGGCATTTGCTTTTTTTCGGCCTTCCGACGGCCCGAGACGGCCCAAGAGCCCCCAAGATCGCCCAAGAGGCCTCCAAGATGGCCCCAGAACGGCCCAAGAAGCCCCAAAGACTGCCCGAATAGGCCCCCAAAACGGCCCAGGAGGCCTTTATGACGCCCAAGATGGCCTCCAAGACGGCCCTGGAGCATTGCAAGAAAGCCCCAAGTCGGCCCAGAGAGGCCCCCCAAACGGCTTTCGACTGCATCAGACGGGCCAGGAGCCCACCAAGACGGCCGAAGATGGCCCTAAGATGGCCCAAGACGGCTCAAGAGGTCTCCAAGAGGGCCTCCAGGAAGGCCCGAAAAGGCCATCATCATTGATGCCCCAAGAGTTTTTGAAGGATTGTGGCATTTGCCTTTTTCGGCCTTCCGTCGGCCCGAGACGGCCCAAGAACCCCCAAGATCGCCCAAGAGGCCTCCAAGATGGCCCCAAAACGGCCCACGAAGCCCCAAAGACTGCCCGAATAGGCCCCCAAGACGGCCCAGGAGGCCTTTATGACGCCCAAGATGGCCTCCAAAACGGCCCTGGAACATTGCAAGAAAGCCCCAAGTCGGCCCAGAGAGGCCCCCCAAACGGCTTCCGACGGCATCAGACGGGCCAGGAGCCCACCAAGACGGCCGAAGATGGCCCTAAGATGGCCCAAGACGACCCAAGAGGTCTCCAAGAGGGCCCCCAGGAGGGCTCGAAGAGGCCAGAATCATTGATGCCCCAAGAGTTTTTGAAGGATTGTGGCATTTGCCTTTTTCGGCTTTCCGTCGGCCCGAGACGGCCCAATAGCCCCCAAATCGCCCAAGAGGTCTCCAAGATGGCCCCAGAACGGCCCAGGAGGCCTCCAAGACGGTCCCAAGAGGCCTCCAAGACGGCCTAAGAGGCCTCCAAGACGCCCAAGATGGCCTCCAAGACGGCCCTGGAGCACCCCAAGAAAGCCCCAAGTCGGCCCAGCCTCGCCCACCGTGTTCCTCGAACGCTTTCCAAACCGATTCGGGGAACACATGGTCCGACAACTCGGCAGGCTTCTGGCCACAACACATAGGCGTTTCCAACAAGGCAGGGCGCGGCGGTGATTCGCCGTAGGCGTCTTGGATATCAAAATTATCCCGGCAAAGCAACCTAACAGCGATGTGTAGAAGCATATCTGAAAGCATTCCCCTTAAGATTCAGATGAACATCCAGATGAGATGATGCCTGCTCTTTTTTCAGAGGACCGCGCTGAGGAGCGGCGTGCGAAGCGGAGAAGCTGCAAAGCGTGTAGGCTGAAAAGCATTGCAGACACGCGCAGGCTGAAAAGCATTCCGCGACACGTGCAGGTTCACCGCGCACAGCTGCACACGAGCGCAGGCTGAGAAGCACCACGCGCATGTAGGCTGAGAAGCACCACGCGAATGCAGACGGACAGACTGAACAGCACCGCCACAACGCAACCTGCATCTCATGACTCCTCAAGCTCGCGCAGGCCATCCCAGTTGCTGTCGGGCCTTCGCGCAAGCGATCTTCGTCGCGGCAATCTTGTCCGTGAAGAGCTCGGCAAAGGCCTTGGCGATCTGCTCCGGGGGGCCGGATTCGATGATGCTCCGGTCAGGCAAGCCGTGGCTCAAGAGTTGGTTGAAGCTTCTGGGGCGCGACAGGCTGACGTAGTAGGCAAGCCAAATGGACTCCTTCTTGAGTCCTGGCGGAAACGTCCAGTGCACGATGAAGCCTGGGTCCGTCGTCTTGCCCTGGACGCCATGCAGAGTCCCCTGCTTTTTGGGCAGCACGGTCAACTGCGTCCTGGACACCGCGATGGCCGGGCCACCTGTCTTCGCTTTGAACTTCCAGGGGCGCGCCTGCGGGGTGATCGCGAGCACTCCGCGCAGGTCGGGGCCGGCAGGCTGAGAAGCACTGCCAGCTGTCACCGGCGCGGCCTTCAAGAAAAGTTCATCGCTGTCATCGATCTTGACATAGACGGCCTTTGGCATGTAGTAGAGTACGACCACGCCGTCCGAGACAATGGACGGGCGGCCCTCCACCGGAGGCTCCAGAGCGTGCAGCTCTATGCCTACCACTTTGCCTGGCGCGCCACGGACATACTTCGGCGGCAAGACGGATTCTGTCAGGATGACCTCCATGCCAACGAAGAGCGGCAGCAGCCCCGGCATTTTTGCGGTAGCGCCGATGTTGGGCTCCGCGCGCATCTCGTCGTAATCAGGCTTCGCGAGGCGCGCAGCTGGTCTGTCGATTGCTGGGACGTAAAAGAGCAGCTGGCCAGCATCGTGCGCATCAAGCTTGGCCTGTGCATGCATGGCGTAAGAGACGATGCGCCACTCATAGGCCGACTCGTACCAGCCTCGTGCTGCACGCAACCGAGGGTCCCACTGAGGTGGCTGAGCGGCTTGGCTGCTGCTGGCAGCAGGCTGAGCAGCACCGCTAGAGCTAACGACCTCTGTTTTGACGATCGCCT